ATGTGCGCGCGCGGGTTCCACGGAACGGGATCAGGAAGTTCTCTGCTCCACGCACCGCGTGATCCAATCATGCCACTAGAGGTTCAGCCCTCCCCTCCCCCCTCTCTCTCTCTCCTCAATCCCAACGGCACGCGTTCCAGGAATGTGCTCTCTGCCAGAACAAGTATAGTAGTCTAAACTTGTCGAACATCCGAATCGAGCTTCTGGGGCTGCGACACACGGGCCGGGCGGGACGGGGAGCGCGGGGTGTTGTGTGTCCGCGACACGATGTGGAGGGCGGGGCGGGGTGAGGTGGTGTCCGCGCTATGGCGGCGTCCACCCCCGCCTCGCCTGCCATGTGCCAAGTGCCAAGGGCAAGGGCGGGGGCGGCGCGCGCCGAACCCTTTTCGCGGCAATAAATGTATTTACTTTCAATCTCTGCCCCCCCCCCCAAGCTCCTTCCCGCTCTCCCCCTTCTCTCCCCAGGCCCTTCGCATCAGAGCTTGTCCGTCACAATCTCCAGGCCAGGCGGGAGGGGAGGGGTCTCGTGTAGTCGAGTGGAGATCAGTTTTCGGCCGCTCCGCGGTCTGGCATCGGAGAGACTATCGCGGTGTCGCCCCCTCCCCCCTTTCACCTCCCGCTCCCCCCTCCTTTACAAGCCCTTTACTCGCTTCGAGCGACACGCGTAGCCATCCTGTGTGTGACAAAAGGGGTAGGAGCGCGCGCCGCACGACAACGGTATATCACGTTGCTGATTCGGTGGGAAACGTTTCCTCCGTCGTCACGTTCCCGGAACGTTTCCTCGTCGTCGTCAGGTTCGCGAACACGCGCGACCTTGTCGTCGCAAAGCGCACCACGGATAACCTACTGCTGCATCCGTGTATTTTTACGCTGGAGGATGATGTCAAAGCGAGACAAAAAAAAACCACACTATATTTTTTTTGGCTTCAGAAACCCCTACGTCACGTACGTGTGGTGCGTCGTTTAGGTTGACCGCTAACAAGCATATTTCTGTACATGCCGCTAATCAGACCCGATGTAACTGGTGCACCGAACCAAAATATCGATTTCCTTTTTTACCCCTCGCTCTCTTCGGTCTGAAACTTTTGCAATTTAACGGCGGTTGAGTAAGCCCCTGTAATGTCTGATTAATTAGCCATCTCGCAGGGGTGGGGTTTGCGCAACGCGCAGTAAGGAGGGAGCTGGCTGAGCGTGGCGTGGCGGAGCGTGGCGCGTTGAGCCGGCCGGTCACGAGAGAGAGTGAGAGAGAGAAAAGAGGGAGAAAGACAGGGAGGGGTGAGAGAGAACAGCAAGAGAGAGAAAGAGAGAGAGAGTTTGAAGCCGGCTGTTTGGGTCGCGGGCGGCCAACGCGTCGTCGGTTTATTTTTACTCGCCGATATTTTTAAGCCGCGGCTCCGATCCGTGTGATCCGTGACATCGGTTGTGCTCGCGGCTCCACCTCCCGCCTCCTGGCCGACGACCACATATATATCCCGCTCCTTATCATTTCGCTGGACGTAAAAATAATATCGTCATTTATAATTTTGCACACTGTGAAAAATAGTAGGTAGGTTTAAAGCTGTAACTTTTCCTAGGAAAATTTTCCTTGTCGCAAGTTGTAAAATTACAATTTAGAATCGTATAATTACATGCAGTACGTATCAACTTCAAATCCATTGGCGAGTAAAAATGTCCTCTCGAAAATTTACAACTTAAATTATAATTGGAGTTTACAAAATTTTTGTAAATTTACGACGAAATTTTTTACAGTGAGTGGCTGATCAATAAAAATGCAACTCTGGAAAAGAAGAGATGAAATAAAAACACGGCACTTTTTTTGAAAATTCAATTCATCGGAGGGTGTGGGCCTACACGATGTACCCCGGCCGCTGTGAATCACGATCCCCAACGCGGCCGCGCAATGCTCCCCATAAACACGGCGCCGCGTACTTAATATGCGGCCGAACCGCACCCCCCGGGGCCGCGGCCCCACCCGGCCATGTGTCGTGTTCATCATCGAAATTAGGTAATAAAGGTTTGGGGGCCGCCGACTCTGTGGCGGCGGGGCGGGGGGAGGGAGAGAGCGGCATGGGGACCAGCAGAGGTCCCTTTCCCTTCTTGCGCCTGTTATTGCACGCTGCAGCTGTAGTGTGCGCCCTCTCTCAGAGCGTATAGTGTGCCTGCCTTCGGCTGCGTGTAGTGTGTGTCGTGCCGGCTGGGCTGGCCAGGTCGGGCCCCCGGAGCGTATGCGGCCCGGGCCCCGTGCCGCACGCGCGCGCCGCGGGTCTGCCTACCCGGTGGCCGGCGGGCGCTCTCCACCTGGGCGCTCTCAAACCTGGTCGCTCTCCACCTGGGCGGTCTCAAACCTAGTCGCTCTCCACCTGGGCGCTCTCAAACCTGGGTGCTCTCCACCTGGTCGCTCTCCACCTGGGCGGTCTCACACCTGGTCGCTCTCCACCTGGGATACTCTCAAACCTGGTCGCTCTCCACCTGGGCGTTCTCAAACCTAGTCGCTCTCCACCTGGGCGCTCTCAAACCTGGGCGCCCTCCACCTAGCCGCCCTCAAAACTGGGCGCTCCCCGACCAGGTCGCTCTTCTTTGCTTGGTTGCTCTCCCCCTTGGGCACTCACCACGTGGGCGCTCTTCCCTTTCACTCCTTTCCAACGTACAACCAAATTAGTCCGACGATTACCATTGTCTCGTTGATGGGTTTCGGGTCGCGACGCGCCTTTTTGTCTCGCCCTTCAGCGGCGATCGCGTGCGGCGCGCGGCGGCGGCGGGGTTTGCTCTCCTTAATTAACAGACGGGGATTATGAGCGTCTTAATGGATGCCCCCCCTCCTCCTCCTCTTGCCCACAGCAGCAGCAGCAGCAGTTGCCTTGCATTCATGAGAGCAGAAATGCTCCTCTCTGAGACGCTTAAATAGTTCGCCAGCCTTGCGCCTGCTAACCCTGGACTCTACTCCCCCCTTCCCCCCCCTCCCCCCCCGTCCTCCCGCTCTCCCCCTCCACTCTCCGCCAGGCTCCCACCAACACTCTCTTCCGCACTTCCGGTGCGACTGTCCCGTCCGTCCGGATGCGGCTCGTCGGCGCCGTCGTGGTGACGCCAGGACGAGGCCTTGTGCGTCGCCACCGCAGCGCGCAGGGGCGCAGTAGGGTGACTGACCGGTCCGTCCCCGAGCGCGGGGGGAACGGAGGGGGTCGTTAGAAAATGCGCCAGGAATCCCGCGCTGCTCGCTGCTCTGCTCCTTGTTCGACAGCCGCCCCCCCCCCCCCCCCCCCCCCCCCCCCCCCCCCCCCCCTGTCGTCGTCTCCCTGCTGCTTCCCGGAATCGTAAATAACGCAACAGCGAAATAATTTGAGGCACTAATGGCCAATTACCTCGCGGACTAGGAGCAGGGCAACACTTTGATGGCAGTCTGATTGCTTTAACGCCGGATAATGGCGGCGTCTTGCATAGCGGCGAGCAGCCGCGAGCAGCGGCGAGCAGCCTCCCGCAAGGCGGGCTTTTTCAAACTATTGACGGCGACGAAGGCGTTTTAAAAGGCGGCGAGCCGCGCGGAAAAAAAAAGCGCGCGAGAGAGAGCGAGGGGGGTAAAGAAAGCGCTTGGTGCTTGTTTACACAGCAAGCCCTCGCGGCTGCGTTCAAGAGAGAGAGAGAGAGAGAGAGAGGGAGAGAGAGAGAGAGAGAGAGAGAGAGAGAGAGAGAGAGCCCCCCCAAAGCTCCTTCCCGCTCTCCCCCTTCTCTCCCCAGGCCCTTCGCATCAGAGCTTGTCCGTCACAATCTCCAGGCCAGGCGGGAGGGGAGGGGTCTCTGTGTGCTATTTTGCTTTTTAGTAGAGGGCGGTTATGAGGCATAATTCGTTTTTTTTT